ATGTGGGGGCGTATTAGAACGAGCCGTTTTTGGTAGGTGTGGTTAACTCTTAACTTTTATAAAGAATATCTCTTTGGTTTTGAGACTTTAGTGTTTGCAACTTTACAGATCTTCTTTATGCACCAAGAGCTTGTAACACTCCAAAGAGAAAGGAAAAATTGAAATCGCATCATATGACCCCTTTAAATGCTAAAACTGAATACATTTAAATGAACAAACTTGACGTTGCATTTGCAACCATGTGAAAACAGGGGGTGCTGCAGCCCCCTCAGCACTACTTCCCACGTCCCTGGATGAGGTAGGAATTGTGCGCTGCTGCCCTCTTGTGAATGGACAAAAGTCAAGCTTTAAAACGAATTTTACAATTTCACTTTAAAAAACAAAAAAGGAAAAAAAAATCTTAAATCTAGATGTTAAAAATGTAAATGGGAAATTCCAGGAGAAGATTTTTAGTCCTTGTCAGGGATTCTTACTAGTGAAATATTGTGTGATGTGTGTAAATGCAAACCACAGCAACTTCATGATACCCAAAACTGTTTTGAAGTGTGAAAGGAACTGATCGAACGACTTTGAAAATCATGTAGTGTATACTTAGCATTGGTTTGATGCAGCGTGCGTGGTGCCTCATTAAATAGACTCATTAAATAGACTCTTTTTTAATGTTTTGAGATAGCACCAAAGTGTTCAGGAAGAGATAAACAAGTCTTTGGCCTATAGTGTTATTTTAACAAAATCCTCAATACAACCCTTAGGTGTGATTAAACATAAAACATGATTAAACAAACAAACATTAAATGAATGAATGAATGAATGAATGTAATATGTAAAATGTAATTTAATTTCTGTAGAATTATTATAATTTAATGCCTTTATTGTCATATAATAATTTTTAAATAGTTTATGTTGAATTATTTTATTTTTAATAAATTACATTTTCTGCTTTTTAATAATATAGTATTTTAAATTTGTGACCTATATTTGTTCTCCTGGTAAAGTTTTTCATGTACGCTTATTATATTGCATTCTTAAGAGGCTTGTTTTGTGTGTCTCCCACACACACACACACACACACACACAAAACACTTATTGACTTGGTTGTTTTATTTTCTATTTTATTTTTCAATGCCTGATCATTTGGAGCATTCTGAGAAATGCATTTATTAATTTATTATTTATCTTAAACCATTTCACTTTTTTAATATTTTTTAAAAAAAAGTATGGTATTTTAACAAGACAATACATAATGATACTTTCAGTGAAGAATAAGAGATTACAGATTATCTAAATTTAAACCCACCCAGAATCCTTCCACACACACAATAAATTAAAAATAATAATAATAATAATAAATAAATATAAAACCATGAGAGAGAAAAAAGAAAATAAAAAGGGGACTAAATAATAATAATAATAATAATAATAATAATAATAATAATAATAAATAAGCAAATAATTAAAGATTAATAAAAATAGATAAAAATAATAAATACTAATAATAGATAATAATCAATTTTATCTCTAATAGTATCGATCTTAGAAGTAAAGTAGTTCATAAAGTCATTACTGCTGTGCTGTTGGGAAATGTCAACACCTGTTGATGCTTTATTTTTCGTTAATTAAGCCACTGTATTGAATAAATACTTGGGGTTATGTTTATTTCTTCTAAAAGAGAGACGAAAAGTAATCAGATCTAGCTGTTTTTAATGTTTTTCTGTAGGATAGGTTACTTTCCTGCCAAGCAATACGAAATACCTCTAGTTTTGTTTTCCTCCAGCTGCACTCCATTTTCCGGGCTGCTCTCTTTAGTGCTCATTATACCACGGTGTCAGACTGTTTTCCTTAATCTTCCTTAAGCGTAAAGGAGCAATAGAAGTTAACTATTGTGTATTAGAGCTAAGAACAGAAGGGGATCTTTCATGGGGTCTAAAAAACAGATCAAACAGATATTGATGGGGTCTCAAAAAAGGTTTCAGGTCTTATGAAAAGATTTGAGGGATCCTGAAAGCGAGAAACTTAACTTTTCGAGTTTTATAAAGCAAAAGATTTTTCGGATCCACATATCATGTGATGGAGGGATGATGTGTTTCTCATCTAGCTAAAACAGTGGTATAGGTGATAACTGGGCAAGATCAGACAGTCAAGTCAGGTCTTGGGATAATACCAAAAAGAGCAGTCAAGGGGTTGGGGCCCAAGTCTATATTAAGAGCATTATTAAGTGTATCAAAGACATTGGACCAAAAGTCTGTCAGTCGAGGGCAACCATTTTGCATTTTTGACCATAAAGCATATTATTCCAGTGCCCTTTGCAAGGGACTGTGAGGACCACATGTTGGAAACCACTGCTTTACATACTCAGCATGGACATAATACTTTTGAGCTACTCTGCCTATTGATTTTCTGCATATTATAATAATTTCTCATAATTAGTTTTGCAGCTGTATTAGTAGTAATAATAGTAGTAGAAGCAGTAATACTTCTGTTAATAACATGACTTGTCATGTGATGCCAAAATGACGGCACCCATGAGGGGGAGACAAAACAGCTTTTTCTAGACTGAATGTGTAGACTGGAGAGTTCATTTCTTGCGGATGCTCATCATTTAAATCTATATCTTAACCTATATCTGAATGCTGTATTTAAGTACAGAACATAATGTTTTTCTAATATGCATATTGTTCTCCGTTGACACATCAAGCTGAAAATATGAATAAACAAACTGAATCACGTATTGGATTTTGGCAGAGAAAATCATGATGGGATTGAGCATGCGAAGGACCCTATATGTGGAGTTTGTGAAACATCATCCAGACAATTAATACAGTACCATATTCGATTCTGCTTTAAAACTTACTAGTAGGTGTTGTGGCAATTTTTGAGTTTCAAAAAAGGTACTATATACAAAAGTCTTTTGAGAATATATTTTTTGCAAGAAATGGTCAAACTGTCATACAGTCATTCAAAGTCAGCTGCAGATTGTGACAACCGGAAAATATATCTATCTCATTCAATCATACTGCATATTCAACAAATGTGTTCATAACTATGTCCCCAAAGATGCATTTCTAAGTATTTAATGCAAATCATCTTCTCAGAAACTAGGATGTAAGGTCTCTAAAATAGCATTTCTTATCTCACACTTATCTTGCACCTTTGACCTATGGACTGCTTTTAGTACATCAAAACAACTCAAGTATACTGATGAGGAAAAGAAAAAATAAAACTTGCTCCACAGTAGGATAAAACTGGAGGTAGAAATGAGCTAGACCTTTATTGTCAATTTAATTCAATCGTCACTCATCCTATATAAAATTGTAATTAAATATCCAGTAGATGGCGCGTGTGTACACTAAAACCAAATTCAAAGCAGATTTATGTCGGCTTTATACTATTTCTAAGTTCACTCTGAATAAGTTTAGGAAATTGAGTTTAGAAGAACATTTAAGGGGAAAAAATAACCCCGAGTCATGTTGAATAAATAAAGTTCTACCGAGTCGTTTATTATCTATACAGACTCCAGACAGACATTCTCATTTTGACTTTTTGTTATTCGCGTATCACGTTGCATAGGCCTATTTAATAGAAGGAAGAACATATTCTGCATATTACCATGTTTGTTATTTAGGAATACTTGAAAGTGATAGACCTACTATAAAATATGAATACTTTATGCAGTTTCTTTCACTCTTCAACTTAGCAGCATTCTTTGGCGCTCTGCACTAATTTTAGGGACCGGACTTTCATATGGAATGCAATATTTAGGCAAAACTTGAGACCCCAACCGTACCAAAAACTGCAATTTTTCATAACTACGCTGTAGACTAAAGGTGGATAATGAGGTATTTTTCAATGCTTTGACTACGGGGTTTGTGACTTGCAAATCATGACAACGTCTTGTCTAAAAACCATTTCTCCAATATATTAGTAATACAATGTATTTATAAAAGACAACGCCTTATCTACAACCCATCTAGTTTGAGCCATTTGACAATCATGATAGTGTGCAGAAGCGTGAACGCCCCCACCTCTCTCACGCGCTCGCTTCTAGTGAAAATGGGTTTTTAGCACACCTCTGACGTCATCTGGTCAGCATATTGCCTCTAATCAGAAGGTTGAAGGTTGGCTTGAAACATTAATCGGTGTTGGACATCGGCGCGTGCTCAGGGGATGGTGATTGTGTTGTCATGGTTTCAGTCATGATGTCGCCAGGTTTGATACAGCATCTTTCCGTGTGTCTTCATCCGCAGTAAAAGCGCACTTGGGGATGGAGAAAGCGATAGCCTAAAGGAGCGCAATTACTGCACACGGGGAGAAATTACACCAGCTGGGCTTCAGTGTTCCTCTCTTCGCGCACCTGTGTTTTTTTTTTTAAAGGGACGTACCGTTTATCATGTCTGCGAAGGAAAGACTAAAAGGCAAGATGACCAAAGACAGCGTTACCTTGCTGCCCTGCTTTTATTTCGTGGAGGTAAGTGAGTGTAGCACACACTGAGAGAGCTATTCATATTTGTATCATGTCTAATTAATAGAAGAGAGTTGATGGTGGTCTTCATTCACGCGATGGTCACGTCCAAAATCAAAGCAATCAAGCGGATTGGAACCATAGTCAGTGTTCATTCTGCATGACTGCTCGTTAACTTAGGCATACTGTATGCAGTTCTGGTCGTGAGAAGGTAAAATGCTTTACACTTGTTGTTGTATATTATGTTAATGTTAAGGGGGTATGCGTGATATGTGAAGGGAAATACATAAACATTGTGTTCTGGCTTTTGCGCAACAAATTTTGGCTTGCTTTTTGATGTCTGCCATTCAAAAACACTCTTTCCCTGATTGCATTGGCACAGGCAACATGGCCTTAGTAGAGTAGCCTATTAGTTCAAAGTCTAAGTGAAGAAGATCATCCACATTGGACTGGAGACCTTATGAAAATTTGTCTTAAAATAAGATATAAACAATGCTGTCTCTCATAGAATTAAGAGGGCAATATTAATGTATTGGGGTTGGAATATGGACAGTTAATATATGAAGGCTAATCTGACATGGCCTAGATATCACAGACAAATGAGTGCTGATCACTGGTGTCATGGAGATAATGGTGGCAGTCTTTGATCTGTCTTGTTTACTTGTCAAGCTGCAGTGCTGAATTTAATGTTTCTTGAATATCAAAGAATATTAAACCATTCTGTTGTATGTATTAAAAACCATGGTCATGAACTATGGACTATTAAACCATTCTGTTGTATGTATTAAAAACCATGGTCATGAACTATGGACTATTAAACCATTCTGTTGTATGTATTAAAAACCATGGTCATGAACTATAGACTATTGGCTTTCTATTCGGTTTAAACAATTCATCTTAGAGAATGAGGGCATGATGAATTACTACAAGATATTTTTCTAACAAGACTTGTGAGTGCCTCATTGTAAAAATGCAATGACTTCACATTTTACTTTATGTAATTAGTAGTGAGAAAGATTTCATGATACATACATGTTCTCATCCAGATATCAAATGTAAGGTCCTCTAAATAACTTACCTGGAATAGACTCTGTATTTTCAAATCAGACAGAATCAAAGCTCATTGGCTGCACTGAAATTAATATCATGTTCCCAGGTGTGACCTGGTTGCCTTCTATAGAGTAGCCTTGCTGCAGAGACCTTGTTTCTATCCTAAGATGAGAATGAATTAAAAACTGAGTAATTTAATATGCTTCGCTTCACTAATTTTGCCTAATTAACTTCCCTGTTTCGCTAATGTTTCAGTTTACTAAATGAACTACAAGATGGCCGAGAAGTTTAATTTGTGCTCTCATGAAAAAAAAAAAATATTTTGACACAATATGCTGGCAGATCAATTTAGGTTGTAAGTTATTATTCCACACTGCTGTCTGGCCAATACATTCCTATTTTATAAAAAAAAAAATATAGGGAAAAAATATTTAAATATCAAATTGCTTCTTGTTCAGTTGTTCAGCCATGTTTAGCAAAGTAATTAATTAAAAATTCACAATATAATTTTCATTTGAGCTTTAGCTACAGATGATATAAAAATACAGATAAACTTTATGTTTAGCCGATAACTAATAAATAGCAAATATTCAAATCTTATACTATTTTATATAAATAGCGCTTTATTTTAAGGTGTCCTTGTTACATGTTACATGTACTTACTATTATAGTATCAATGAATTATGCATAATTACATGCAAGTAACCCTAAGCCAAACCCTAATCCTAACCCTAATCATATAGTAAGTACATGTAGTTAATTAATATTACTCAGTACTTAAATGTATAATTATACTGTAACAAGGACACCTTAAAATAAAGTGTAACCAAATACATTAAAAATAAAGCTCTAAACTAAAGTAAACTGTTTTAAGTGCTATAAGTCAAGTTAGCCATCAAAACAGAATGTTCAGTATGTTTTTAAAGACTAAGTGAGTGTTAGACAGCAAAGATAATCAGCAAAGATAGGCAAAATGAGCATGAACAGTTAAATGTTCAATATCAGACAATATATTATTGACCGATGATTAACAAAAACAGCCGATAACTGATAAAATTGTAATATTTTTGTTTAAAGAAGAGGTAAATTGTGGCATTATTGTCAGAAAGCATTATGCAAGTTTTGATGGCTTACATTAAAGGGTAGCCTATATATTGCAATGTAAGCTGTGTTTGTGTTGTAATAACTTAAAATATAAATGAGAAATATTTAAAGTTAAAGACATCTTCAGTTGCAATTCACTGCTAAACATCTGCAAATATACAGTCAAACTACGGAATTAATTTGTTTGCTAGAGAATTATGGGTGGACCATAGACAATAACTGATATTCATAGGATTCACTGGATCCAATTGGTCCAGTGCAAATGTCATAGAGGTTATTAGTATTTGTGCTGTAAGATGCAGCATCACTAGGAGTTTAAACCACAGGGGCTTTTTCTGCAGATGTCCTCCCATTTTTAGAAGGGGCTTGATTACAGTAATTAAACCCCCTACCCCCACCTTTGATCTTCATGCTGTCCGCTCAAGTTTCGTAATTATTCAGTACGATGGCATATTTCCACTTTGCATAGCACAACGCAATATATTTCCTCCTAGGAGCTGCAGCAGCAAAGACATCTCCAGCTGATCCTTGTTCATTGAGATACTATGGGGTGAACCGTGTCAATGACAACAGTAATTCTAGGATATCTAAAGACGTTCCATGCATATTCACCTGAGAATAACCTTGATTCTCCCGTAATCACACATCTTCTGTCTAACCTTAGCGTGAACCTAGTACCGTTGACGAGTGTGAAAAGCCTCAGGGGATGTAACTCCAGTATAGTTTCATCCAAACCCTCATTATATGTATCGGTGTTCTCATACCAACATAATGCTGATTGTAGCAGTTAGCTTGACAAGCACTAATACACAGCCATTGTCATTTAGGTTTTTAGAAGCAAGGATCTCCCAATGTATTTTCTGCTTCAGCACCAAGAGCGGTTTTTTTTTTAGGAGACAAAATTTGGGGTATTATGAACAAATATTATGAAATATGATTTAAAAGGCTAACAGCGGATCGGGGGTGTGTTCCCCAAAAGCATTGTTAGCCAACGATAAGACATGGACTTAAATAGATCATTCTCTTGGGTACAGCAAGCAATCCTAACATGCAGAACATTCTTTACTGTCCATTCCATTTGAATATATATACACTCTTAAACATTAAAGGGGTCCTATTATGCTCTTTTACAAAGTCTTGATTTTGTTTTGGAGGTGTACTAGAACATGCTCTCATGCTTGGTGGTTCGAAAAACGCATTATTTTTCACATAATTTACATTATTACAATACCTTTCTCCCCAGTCTGGCACAAACGGCTCGATTAGTTCCGGGTTTGATGAAGGCCCGCCTTCCAAAAAACGAAATGCATTGTGATTGGTTAGCTGTCCCAGTGCATTGTGATTGGCGAACAGCTTAGTGTTTCTGTACTGCGGTTCATTATCGCAGGCGATTTGATCTGCGATAATGAACGTGATATTGCCTAATTGTCAGTGAACTACGGCTCTGTGTAGTAAATGCCGCTCCATCTGAAAGCAGGTGATGGAGATTTACTACTAATCACGGAACCGGCTTTACTGACGAGATGCGCATGACAATCGCATGCGATTAATTGCACAGCCCTATGGCATATATATGCAGGAGGCACTGTTGGAGTGGTAGAGATCGAGGTTTCCCTGGTAACGGCTGTACACAAAGCAGCTCTCCGCTCACAAACGCTGCTTTATCAGACATTACATGCATTATGAAATGAAAATGACATCCAGTTTTCTGAAGACAGTCCGTTTCTTTCAGAAATACAGTGATATGAAAACACCCACACCGGGTTTCGATTTTTAAACATGCAGTGCTCATGTCTATTCAACGAAGTCAAAGCCTTTTGGAAAATCTATTTGTGGCGGTCAGTTTTGATATTGTGGTGGGCGCCACAAATAAATCAATGTATGAGAATCACTGTAGTCTCATAATTGAAGTGTAAATTCTGCAGATTACATCATTGTCCACTCCAGTATTGTACTGTCAGCAATTTATTATAAAAACGTTTTCATAATTGTAACATACACATTTACATACATAATTATACTTCAGGTGCATGTGTAATAACTGCGAAAACTTGACGCTACAGCAGCACTTCTTCATCGTCGTCGTCTTGTCTGATGCACTCAACCCACGACCTCGCCCCTCCCCACCCCCCAACCATTCGAATTTCCATAAGCAGGAATTATTTTAATGATATTCTAATGGGACGCTTTGTGACATCACAAAACCCGGAAAACAACGCACTAGTCCAAACGAGCCGTTCATTGTAGTTCTTGGAAAGGGATTTTTTAAAAACAAAATATCTCCCTTTGGAGTGGACTTTGAGATTTGTAACTTTGTAGATCGTTTTTATGCCCAAACATACACACTTCACACTGACTAAAATTCAAAAAGTGAAAAAGCATAATAGGACCCCTTTAAGCAAAATAACTGGAATCTATTGTTCCATAAAGAACCTTTAACATCCATGGAATCTTTGCATTCCTCAAAAGGTACTTTATGGTGTAAAAAGTTCTTCAAATTATTGAAATGTTCTTCACACTAAAGTTCACACCACCAGTGACACGCAGCAACAACATGATTCCACACATTTTCAATGGAGAGCTGGTGACTTCCTGCGACATGAGCACCAGTGACCAATGCAGAATGTACCATTGAGTGAGTCATGTGACAAAGTTAAGAAAGCAGCGAATTTCCTGAGCAACAACCACTAGGAGTGAAGACTATGTCTCTAGTGCAGGAAAGACAGGACAGAGTTCTGCAGCGATTTCACTGTTTTATATGGTTTTACTGTAACCACATACATGGATATAAGAAAATGTGTGGAAAAGAAACTCATCAGTCTTAGTGAGTTTGACTGATACATTGATAGTTTGTGTTGTTAGCTATATGATGCAGTGAGCAGTTTAGCACTTTTGCCGTTCATATTTACAGTTTCCCCTGCATAATGTTAAATATTAGGGACTAGAAAATTGATTATTTGTCAAATTCGAATGATGTTTTAGTCATTTTTAGCAGTACAAGTTTAATTAGTTGATTGATCGATCATTAATCTGGTTAATGATTTAATACACTGAGCAGTACTGTAGTTTACATAACAGCACTCTTCAACAGCAGAATGCTACGTTTAATTCTCTTAAGGCTAATTAGAATAATCATTAATGCTTTTAAGTCAAAATAGAATGGTGTCTGTGTTTTTCTGCAATATATTTCATTTGTGATTGCATTTTCTTAAGATGGCCAGACGTGCAGTCTAACAATAATATTAGAGCGGCAGCATAGGAACGCCCACGAGCATCTTCACAGTACAGAGACTAGCGACATACATACATACATACATATATGTCTCAGTCTAAAAATTTTAATATGTCAACAATCAGTGCCATTTTTGAACAGTGTACTTGTGCACAAATGTGTAAGTCAAGCATAAAGTAATGCAAAATTATGTTCATTACAGCAGTATCAAAAGATCTCAAATCGATTAATTAGTGTAAATTATTTTTTCACATGCATGTGATGTCATTAATGTCTGTATTGTTGAACCAACGTAGCTCAAAAGATGGAGGTATGGCCATCTTATTATGGTTTCAGGAAAACGAATGTGACTAATTGGTTAGTTTCTCCAATGATGCATCATACTATAGTAGTTAATAGTCACATCGTTGTACGGGAAATACATGCAGATGAGCTCAATCCTAAACGTGAAATAGTGGCAAAATACAGATGAGAAGTCACATGATCAGATACAGTACCTCCATTGCAATATAATAAGCTGATTACCTTGTCAATGGAATAATTGGCACCTATCATGTTTGCAAATTAGCCTGGATGAGTCAAACTAGTAAACTATGGGACAGTGCACCATTTGCCTAATAAAATTTGCATAATTTCATTGTTGTTTTCAACACATTTTGCATACTTAGTAAACAAGACCCATCTAATATATTATATTCCTTCTGTTTTATCTCTACAGCTCCCAATTCTGGTGTCCTCTGTGGTCAGCTTATACTTCCTGGAGCTGACAGATATTTTTAAGCCAGTGCGTTCAGGCTACAGCTGCAATGACCGCAGTCTCAGCATGCCTTACATTGAGCCCACAAAGGAGGTCATCCCCTTCCTCATGCTCTTCAGTCTGGCTTTCGCCGGGCCAGCGGTGACGGTAAACGCCAGATTGACAATCATGTTTAGTCTAGAGTCTAGAGCAGTGGTTTTCAATCCTGGTTCTGGGGGCCCACTGCTCTGCACATTTTGAATGTCTACCTTATCTGACACACTCAGTTTAGTACATGGATATCTCTCCTAACGAGCTGATGATCTGAATCAGTTGTGATAAATTAGGGAGACTCACAAAATGTGCAGCGCGGTGGTTCCCCAGGACCAGAATTGAAAACCACTGGTCTAGAGGGCACTCTTACTTATTCATGCAGGCCTAATGTTTGATCTCAGTTTAGAGGGGCAAGAATTAATATTACAGTGAATAATAATTAATCTATATTTGATGGTGTGCCTCCAATTTCTTTGTAGTCACCTGAAGTTGCAAATTGTTGCTAGCTTTGCACACACATTCATAGTTCATGTTAAAGACAAGAAATCACTTGATGGCTTTAGCTTTGTCTCAGCTATGAACCATGATTTGCTGTTTGCTGGTCAATTACAGGCAGTATTAGAGGGACATTCTCATTCTCGCATCTGAAAATCTGTGCAGGATGAGTCAGTTATATTTTTGCTTACATTTACAATACTTACTTACTTGCAATACTTACTTCCAAAGCAACTTAAAAACATAGAACGAAAGCAAATTTGTCAAACTAAATCACCTTAAGTATGGGTTTCTCTGCTTTCACCTCAGCTAAATTGTTGTTAGCATTTCTATTTGTGTTCTCTATCTCCATTTTTATTTATTTATTTTTTTTATTTTTTTTTTTTTTATATTTTTTTTTTGCTTGTCTCTTGCATGTTTTCTTCTTCCCAAACTGTCAGTGAAATTTTGTCTGCCACCCACCCAGCATGCAATTCGAACATCAGTTGGGCGACAAGGCACTAAGCCTCTACAGGCATGTTGTGAGTCTATTATCAAGACCCTAGGTGTTGAAATCATGAGTCTAATAGATTGCCGTCAATTGCATTTTACCATCTGTATACATGTTGAGGTTTACAAGATTGTCATTGCAAAGGCAGCTAGATGGAAAAATCTTCAAGAACCTATTGTCACATTTCCTCGGGGGTTTCAAAAGCTGGAAGTTTGGAAGTGTTTCAGATTCGTGGCTTTTGAGAGTCATATTTTAACTGCACTACTGTTCAAAAGTTTTAATAATAAATTAATCCTTTTATTCCACAACAATGCATTAAAATTGTTCAAAAGCGATAATAAAGACATTCACTTGCTGTTCTTTTGAGCTTTATATTCATCAAAGAATCCTGAAAACATACTGTATGTGTCAGAGTTTCTGCAAAAATATTAAGCAGAACAACTGTTTTCAACATTGATCATAATTTCAAATAAGAAAAACAAAGTTGGCACACCACAGCTCCAAAAGTATAAAATATTTATTTATGTTCTCACCACAGGTGACGTTTCGAGCCTAAAAAGCTAAAAAAAAACAGCAGAACTTTTAGGCTCGAAACGTCACCTGTGGTGAGACCATAAATAAATATTGTCTACTTATGGAGCTGTGGTGTGCCAACTTTGATTTTCTTGTTTTAAATTGTTCTTGTGGCTGAGCACCCACATTGAGCTTTTGGCCTGTCAGATGTGCGCACTTTGATTGCAATCTTTGTGCAACATTGATAATAAGAAATTCTCTTCATTCTCTGCTAATGTCTCCACTGCTAAAAGGACATACTATCACAACAAAATTAACAATTTGCCTAACTCTCGCATGCTCTTTAAAACATTTTCCTCCCTCCTTTGTCCTCCTCCTCCCCCTCCTTCATCAACTCTAACAGCTGACGACTTTGCCACATTCTTCATTAATAAAATTACAAACCTCAGTGCAGTCAAACCAAAAATTATTCAGAGACCAGATATAATTTTTTATATTTTTTTACTATTTTTTAACTGTCAAACACATCTTACCCGCAAACATACACTCGTTTTCATCCTTCTCTCCACTCTCTGAGGCAGAAGTCTCTAAACTCATCCTTTCCAATCATCCTACTAGTTGTCCGCTTGATCCTATTCCATCTCATCTCCTTCAAGCCATTTCTCCTGCCATTGTACCTGCACTCACTCACATCGTTAAAGGATTAGTTCACTTTCAAATTAAAATTTCCTGGTAATTTACTCAACCCCATGTCATCCAAGATGTTTATGTCTTTCTTTCTTCAGTCGAAAAGAAATTAAGGTTTTTGATGAAAACATTCCAGGATAATTCTCCTTATAGTGGACTTCAACGGCTACCAAACGGTTGAAGGTCAAAATTACAGTTTCATTGCAGCTTCAAAGGGCTTTAAATGATACCAGACGATGAATAAGGGTCTTATCTAGCGAAACGATCGGTCATTTTCTAAAAAGTTAATTTTTTAAAAGTATATGCTTTATAAACAAAAATGCGCGC